ATTAAAACATGCTCATGGATATTTTACTATAGAGCCTGCGTGCTCATGAATAGCCCTGTGTGGCCCTTTTGTTTTAAACAATGTTTCCGCTGCATTATGAATTACTTATTATGTTTGTTTATGGATGTTATATGTGTGAATGATATTCAAGACGCTTTGTATAATATGAACGAGTTGGACTGCGGTTGACTATTCGTATTGTACGGCGGGTTGTTGACGCACCTGGGGAGGTCCGGGGCGTGACAAGAACACCCGGCTTATATGAGTGGTGATAAAATCATATGTCCATGTTCAAAGTGTAAAAATCTCAAATTTAAAGACCCAGAAGAAGTTGGGTGAGATTTGTACGCGGAAGGATTCGTTCCCAATTATTATAATTGGACTTCTCATGGCGAACCTTTGGATCCATCTGTTTTACCACAAACGGTAGGTTCGTCTCGTAACGTCCCTGCAGAGATGAGTGCGTGGGGAGACCCTGCTGAAATGAGATGGGAGCAACGTATGGTATATGACGCATACGGTGCATCGATGTCTCAATTCAACCCCCCACAACCATCTGAGGATCCTCCTGAAGCCTCGACCTCGTATCAACCAGTTGTGGATGAAAATCCGATATTTTATCAACCTTATGTGGATGAAGGTTTAGCTGAGAGATTTCAAGATGTTTAAAAAGTTGTCGATCAACCCCTGTATGCTGATTGTGAGGGATACTCTCAGCTATCCGCCGTTACAGAGTTTATGAACATAAAAGCTGAATACAGTCTCCCTGAAACTTGCATGACTAGAGTCTTGCAGTCAGTAGAAGGGATGCTACCGCGTGATCATAACCTTCCCGATTTATATTACCACATGAAACAATTAATGTCTAAGTTGGGGCTACCTTGTGTAGAAATTGATGCGTGCCCGGAAGGATGTATGTTGTTCTGGAAGGATGATGAGGCACTTGAATTCTACAAGTTCTGTGGTGGAGACAGATACAAACCTGTTCCTCAAAGTAAAAGCAAACCACGAAATAGGTCGGCATTATCTAAACTGTATTACCTCCCAATAGCTCCACGACTTCAGAGGATGTACGCTTCGACTGCTACTGCGAAACACATGACATGACATGTCGAGCACGAAACCAAAGAGGGTATGATGTCTCACCCTTCGGACTGTGAAGCTTGGAGACACTTTGACCGTTGTCATCCTCAGTTTGCAATGGAGCCACGGAATGTGCGACTGAGATTGTGTTCAGACGGATTTGCTCCATTCGGAAGGTTTGGGAAGAACTATTCATGTTGGCCGGTCATGTTAACTCCTTACAATCTCCCTCCCGACATGTGCATGAAGAGTCACTTTATCTTTTTGACTTTGATTTGTCCGGGTCCCAATGATCCAGGAAAAAAGATAGACATTTATCTCCAACCCCTTATCGAGGAGATGAAAGAACTTTGGGCCATTGGAACACCAACTTATGATGTTTCAAGGGATCAAAATTTTATCATGAAAGCTGCCATCATTTGGACCATTAACGACTTCCCTGCCTATGGCATGCTTTCGGGGTGGAGCACACACGGTCTTATGGGATGCCCGATATGCATGGAGAAATGAGGTGCAAATGGGCTAACTTTTAGTAAAAAAACCAAGTTATTTTGATTGTCGCAGCAAGTTTCTCCCGGAATTTTTGTGCTCTTTTCTTCATCATTATATTACTCCAACAATATTTGATTTTATTATTTGTCATTATTATCTGTGAAATAAAAATTACTCCATATTAATTCAACAACAACAAGTTTTTTATATCCATATTATAAATTCAAAATATAATTTTTAATAATTCGAAGTTTGAAAATTAAAATTTCCATAATACGAAATTTAAAATTACTCCATATTAAATCCATGTAAAAAACATTTGAAAATTCAAAAAAAAATATTAATTTACAATTCAAAAAAATTCGAAAATTACTCCATACTTTGAATAATTCAAAATTTGAAAATTAATTTTAATAATTCTAAATATACAAAATTAACAAAATTCAAAAATTTAAAAAAACTTAATTTACTTTTACTTTTACTAATCTGAATATTCTAATAAATTTAGATATTAATAAACAACTAACACAGATTTATTTATCAAATTTAAAAGATAAGTACAAAACACACAATTTATTTATCACATTAACCTAACTAACATTATTCATTCCTCAACCGGAAACTTTCAAGAGGCCAAGCCCACAACTCGTGAATTTTCCTTCGAGCTTCTTCGTTGATCGGGTCCATATACTCCGAACATTCGTGTGCACGTTGAAGCATCCGACACAAGTTTTTTGCTTTTGACTTGCCGAATGAGTCGGATTCCTCATCTTTATAATCGCCAAAACTTTCAAGGGGTCTAGACATCAACTCCTTGATTCTCTTGTCACAGACTTAGTCACGGATTTGACCGTGACTAGTCCGGTCAATGACGGCCCTGACATCTCGCCTTCCGCAGGTCTGACTTCGGCAATAACGACGGGTTAGTCACGGAAATAACGGATATTTCCGTGACTAAGACCGTGACTACGATCTGATATAAAAAGAACGCTTAGCGAATTTTTTCAAACCCACGCTTCTAAACCCTATTTTTCTCTCAATCACTTCAATCTACCTTCTTCCCTTCCTTCCTCTGCAATATGTTTCCGAACCAGAGCCGCCGCCGCCGAGCCGCCTCTCCCGCCGCCACCGCAACTGTGTCGTGACCGCCGCCGTCCAATGCCGTCCGCTGCAACCGCCGTCCGCCGACCAACGCCGTCAGCAAGGTTATGTTCCCAAACCTTCATTATTTTTTCTCGTATTTTTATAATCAATTATATATTTTTAAAAATTTAAAAAATTGTATGTTTTGCTGTTATTGTAATTAATATGCATGCTCTATTTGTTTCAAAATATCCGAATGCATGATGTATATACTCAAATGCATACTTTTATTGTTCAACCATCACATTAGTATTAATTATTAATTTACGAAGGTTTTTTTCGTAGTATACTCTATTTCTTGAATAATGCATGCTCTATGTATTTAATTTTTTATAATATGTGTTCGAAATTTGATACAATTTGTTAGACATAATATTTGAAATTTTAAGTTCAATATGCATGCTTAGATTATGGTTATATGTTTAATATCCATGCTTAAACTTGTGTTTTTTTATTTCAACCACATGCGTGATTATTAAAACCTTTTTTTTATTAAAAAAAAATATTAGGATTATTATTATTATTTTATCATCTATCGATATTATTATTCTCGAATCATTTAAAAAAATAGCCCCTCATGTTAAACTTCCAAAAAAGTTTAACATGTTAATTATAATATATTAATTTAGAATAAAATATAAAAACTGTTTTCCAAAATAAAATATAAATTTTTAAAAACTGTTTTTATTAAACACTGTTTTTTTATATAAAAAAAACTGTTTATCATTAAAACTGTTTATTTTAAACTGTTTATATATAATTTATAAATAACTTGTATATGTATAAAAGTTAAATAAAAACTGTTTAATAAAAAACTGTTTTTTAAACACTGTTTTTCTTATTTAAAAACTGTTTTTATAAAACTGTTTTTATAAAACTGTTTTTATAAAACTGTGTTTAGATAAAATGTTTTTTTGTAGAACTGTTTTTATAAAAAAACTGTTTTATATAAAACTGTTTTTATATAAAACTGATTTTATATAAAACTGTTTTTGTAAAATATTTTTTTAAACTGTTTATAAAACACTGTTTTTAAAAAACTGTTTTATATAAAACTGTTTTTATGAACTGTGTTTATATAAAAACTGTTTTTCTAAACAGTTTGTAAAAATCTTAATTAAAAAAAAAACAGTTTTTACAAAAATCTTAATTAAAAAACTAATAAAAAACAGTTTCCTTATTTTTTTTATAAGGAAATATTAAAATACAGTTTGACTAATAAACTGTTTTTATTAGTTGTTAACTATTAGTTGTAAACTAATAATTAATTAGTAAACTATTTAATAACTATTAATCGCAAACTGTTTCAAAACAGAAATTTTATTAGTTGTAAAAACTGTTTTTCTAAATCTAGTTATTATAAAAATTGATTTTTATAAAACATCAAAAAAAATTATGTCCCCTCATGTAAACTTGCCAAAAAGTTTAACATGTTACCCTTTTAGAGAAATCAATACAAAAATGTATTGTTTCAAAGTTAAAAAAATTAATTGAAAAAAATATCATCCCCTCATATTAAACTTAAACATAGTTTAATATGTTATACACATTTTCAATAAAATTTTGATCTTCTATTATATTCCCACTAACATTTTAAATATGCAAATTAATATTTTTTTAGATGAGCAATGAACAATCAACCTCGCGTACCCGCCCAAACTATGCGCCCTTAACCAAAGCAGAGCGCAACAATGAAAATGCGGTTTGGGTGACACCTCACAGTCACATGGTTGCTAAGTAAGTAACTATGAACTTTACCTAATGTCAAATAATTTTATCTAATGTCAAATAATCTAACCAAAACGGATATAAAAAAATATCATTAATTTTTTGAAGCGATCAAGATGTGCTCGACCAAATCAAACGCATAATTGGTGGACACTTTCTTGGGAACTATGGTGGAACCTGTTCAAGGTAAAAATAAATGAATGTTCCCCGAGTAATTGTAGTACCCTAATATATACCAAAATATTAATTCATCCCTTTTTTAAATAAAGGGCCGGTTTCGATGGACTGAAGCACAAGGTCCCGCTATTCTTAGAGCCTATAATGCCAGGATTTTGAACTGGCTTCGGCCCACTTTTAGGCGTGCCCGAGTGCAAGGGCGGCAGCCTAGATGGTGTTCGGATGAGGTGTGGGCTAACCTCGTCCGCCATTGGTCTTCTGATCCAAACTTCTTGGCAAGGAGCGAATCCGGTAGAAAAACCGGATGTCCGAGAAGGCCTTGGAGACCCAATGGCACGGGGGTCGCAAACCTCAGAGTAAACATAGAGAAGCTCTTGTAAGTCCTATTCAAAAAAACGTTACGTCATTACAACCCTTCATTTTCTACATTTATTTATGAATTTTAAGTTTTTTTTCGAACCATGTAGGCGGGGCCTGAGAAGAAGAAGGTCTCGATCCTCAAGGTCATTAAACATTGTTGGACAAAGCACGACGATGAGTCGGAAGCCTATCTGCCACCCCGCCTCGCCGAAATCGAAGTAACATCAATTTCCTTATTTAGTAACATTTCAAATCGAAGTAAATAATCTTTCGATAATTTTTGTACATGTAGACGAAGTACAACACAAATGTTGAGAAGAAGCAGGCGGAATTAGGCTTGACCCAGGAGGATGAGATCGATTCTGATGTGGAAGATGATGCGATCCTTGAGGCAGCTGGAGTGTACAAGGGTCGGGTTCCGTGCATGGGGGCTGAGGGGCAACGGATTTTGTATGACCGCACCACCGGAGCTTCATCTTCTCGATCAGGGCGGGGAGAGGATCCACGCATCGCCCAAATGAAACGAGAATTGGAGGAGCAGCAGCGGGCATTAGAGCAGCAACGGAAGAAGGATGAAGAAACAAGAGCCCGGCTGGAAGCGATGGAGTGGATCTTAAACGCCGGATATCAGCCTCATCCTCGGCCGTACATATTTCACCCCGAGCAGACTCCTCAAGTTCCGCACATAGGCAACATGGGTTATCATTCTAACTCCGGATATAGTAGCATGCCTATGATGGATCCGACATTCGGATCTTTGTCGTATGGTTTCTTGAATCAATTTCAGTCATCCGGAGGATCAAGCCATGAAGCGAACCGAGGAGGTACCCGAGGAGGCAACCGAGGATGCAGCCGAGGAGGAACCTGTCCCGAAGACACCGTGGAGCCCGAAGCTGAGGATGATGATGATGATAATGATGAATTTGATAATGATAATCCTAATTTTTATCATAATGGAGTCCGAAAGCCGGGCATGTAATATTACAGTTTTATCATTAACATTTAACATTATTTTTATAATTTCAGTTTGCAATGCACTTTTATTGTGTGAGTGTATGAATTTTGTTTTTTTATTTAATGGTATAATTGCTATACTTTTTAAAATACAATATTTTTCCTGATAAATTTTTAATTTTAATTTTAATTTTAAGAAAAATTAAAATAAGTTTTAATTTTTTTTAAAAAATGGATTTTAAAAAAAAACAAAAAATTTAGTCACGGATCTGAGCTGTGACTAAATTTTTAGTCCGGATTTCTTTTTATTAATTTAAAATTTATTTTTTTTAAAAAATAAAAATTAGTCACGGATTCATGACCGTGACTAATATGAAATTTGAAAATTTTGAAAATGCGAACCGCGGGTTTTTGAAATTTCAAAATTTAAAAGCGTAGTCACGGAAATTGCCGTGACTAAAATGGCCGATTTTTTTTTTTAAAAAAAATTCTTAGTCACGGACACGTTCGTGACTGCAAAAATAATAATAGTAAAAAATAATAATAAAAAATAATAAAAAAAAAGTAATCACGGATCTTAGCCGTGACTAAAGTGCCGGAGCAGCTATTCCGGTGACATTTTAGTCACGGATCTGGTCCGTGACTAATCCGTGACTACATTTAGTCACGGACAATTTGGCGTGACTAAATTTAGTCACGCCCAAACAGTCACGGATTTAGTCACGGACAACATCCGTGACTAAAAGAGTTATTCACGGATTTTTTATACTGCGGTCCGTGACTAAATCCGTGACTACAGAGTTATTTTTTTGTAGTGTACATGTTTCTAGCTTGTTTAATACGGAGTAATATAGTTTGAAATTTTCTTAGTTTACTTAGTATAGTACGTAGTACCAGGAATTATAATTAGGGCTTATGTAGAGTCAATAAAAAAGGATCAATTTATTTTTTTCCTGGAAATAAAGTAAATAAAAATAAAATTCGCTGGAAAGAAGTGATCTATTTTTTTTTTAAAAAAGGTCCGTTTTTAACTGCATTTTTTGTTCTAATTTGGGTTATTTTTCTTCTTCTACACTAAGCATCTATTTGCTTTTCTTATTGTTTGATACTTCTAGTTTTACTTTTTTTGGTTTCTACATGTTTCTAGCTTGTTTAATTTAATATGGAGTAATATAGTTTGAAATTTTCTTAGTTTACTTAGTATAGTACGTATTACCAGGAATTATGTAGAGTCAATAAAAAAGGATCATTTTATTTTTTTCCTGGAAATAAAGTAAATAAAAATAAAATTCGCTGGAAAGAAGTGATCTGATCTATTTTAAAAAAAAAGGTCCGTTTTTAACTGCATTTTTTGTTCTAATTTGGGTTATTTTTCTTCTTCTACACTAAGCATCTATTGAGAAACTGCTTTTTCTAGTTTTGAATATGTGTGTGTACATATATTGAAAGTTCTGCATTTTTTAATTTGAACATGTGTTTGTTTGCACATTATATTGAACATATAAGGTTGAATAATTAATTGTTTGACTGAATTGATGAATAGGACTTTGCTTATATGTATTTGGCAGGGGAATTCTTCAAGTGATGATTCAGACTCACAAGCCTCTTCTTGCCCATCCTGGACATTGGAAGATATGGAAGGGCAGCCTGATGACGATGACATCTTCTCTACAAGGCCACCAGACCATTCACGAAAAGTGTGGGAATGTGTGAGAAAATACGTGAAGGATAAGAAACAGAAAAGAAAAGAGGTAAGAGATGCCAAAAAAACAAGAAAAATATGTGAAAAGGAAGAGTGGTATAGTGATGGTGAAAAGGAAGAATTTAGGGAGGATGAGTTTGAATGGAGTGAAACAGTTGATATGCAGTGCTCTTGGGCACAATAAGAGAATGTGTCCCCGAAAGCCTACACGCGGATCAAGAGAACAAGCTGAAAATGATCCTAGAGAACAGCCTCAACCTTTCGCTGTAGATCATGGCCCGGAGCAACTCGAACAAGACATGCTTGTTTCAATGGTGTCACATTTTGACATTGCCAATTTTCAAAATCCTTCATATTGGGTATGGTCCTCACTTATTTTTGTTTTTCATACAATTTTATTCAACTTACATTGATTCCCATTTTATATTTCTGTTTGGGCATACATGATGTTCTAGGATCTGGACTGACGAATCCTACTATAATATCGTGTTCAAAAACAGGAGCAACAAAGGAGTCCAATACATCTAAGCGCATCCATCCATCCCATAAAACTAGCCAAAAAGATTCTAGTACAAACAAATAGGTTTGCTTTCAGTATGGTATTAATATGTTTAAGAATACAATTATTCATTCCGGCAAGGATGAAGTTTTTCCTTTATATTTTGCTATTCTGAAATTTGTAAGACTGCAAAAACTACTACGTAGTACTTATTGTTGTTGTTTTGGTGAAGTGTAATATTCCCCCTTACTCTAGTACTCCACACTCTTAAGTTGTGTTTTTTGTAGCTCCAGGTTGTTTTTGTATGGTATTGAATTGGTATTGAATTGGTAGCTTTTTGTTTTTGTGTGTAGGTGGTATAACTTGCTAGTTTTTAAATGTTAAGGTTGTTGTTTTTTATAACCAGTTGCTAATTCTGCCGGCAATTATTTACTCAGGGAAGGATTAAATTTTTATTTAAACTTGTTATTTGAAAACGTGTCAGACTTCAAATTTGCTATTTTTGTTTTTAATTTTGGCAAAAAGAAAAAGAATGACATCCCATCCTTGAGAGCCCCCAACACCGATCGACAACACGATGGGAGGATGTTCCAGCTATTATTCAAACAGCTCCGTGGATCAATCCAATTTAAAGTTTTGAAATTAAAATTGCGTGTTGTTATAAAATGTTGCTGATGCTCTATGTGGCATCACTTTTTTAAATGTACTCTAAAAAATTGTTATGGCAAAAGAAGTTAAATATTTGGCAATCAAAGAATTAAATATAGTATAATTAATCGTTCAAGTCTACACACTTCACCTACAAAAACGGAATAAGAAACGGAAACTCAAAAAATAAACTTACAGCCATTAACCCATTATTAGAAAAGGAGGCAATGAATATGGGGTAAATTGGACCCTTTGCTTGTTAAAAATGTGAAAAGGTGACCCAAAAATGTGAAAAGTTAACTTTACCGTTTCTAGGGGTAATATGCTTAGTTTATTAAAGGGAAAAATAATTAAAATACCCCAAACTTTGAAGGGGTGTGAGGTAAATACCCCGAACTTGCATATGTAATTTTAATATCCCGAACTTTATATAAAAAGTTATGTTAGCACCATGATCATATAATTTTCACCATAAATTTTAAATTTATACATGACATGTTGCTAAAATAACTTTTAAATAAAGTTTGGGGTATTGAAATTACTCATGCAAGTTTAGGGTATTTATCTCACACTCCTTCAAAGTTTGGGGTATTTGAATTATTTTCCCCTTTATTAAAACACACAGGGGTTATGTGCATTTTTTATAACACAGGGGGCTGACACGCAGATTTTTAATATGATAGGGGGGTTTGGTGCGATTAACCCTTGACAAAATAAGTGTTTTTTGTGTAATAGAAAAAGTAAAAGCACTTTGACGCGGAAGCCGAGAAAAATAAAAGTTGTAGTGTTTGGGAAAATAAGTGCTTTTTTAAGCCAAAAGCTGAGAAGTGCTTTTTTAAAAGTAGTTGCAAACCAACCCTTAGTAGTCGTTTCCTTCATTTGTGTGTAATTATCTTTCATAAGGAGAGATTGACTTTTCTTATCCAGTTTAATTGGATGTATCAGGCTCGTCCTCGATGAGTGTTTCCTCATCGGGGGTTTGCTGATCGCCTTGTACCTCTTCGGCTGTTTCCTCGTAAATGTCCTTCTTTCGGTTGCGTTGAAAGTTACTCATAAATACAGAATGTCTACCTCCTTCCATCTTAAAATGTAACAAACAGTAATATTAACTTTGAGTAACTAAAGTATAAGTAATTTGTAACTAAAATTAACTAATGTAACACAAATGTAAGTAACTTTAACAAGTTGATATTTGTGAGTACAATTCAAATGTAACTAATATTAAAGAAAAATGTAACAAATAGGAAAATTGTATGAATGTATAATAATAAATGTATAAATGTATTAATGAATGTAAGTACTGGGATAAATTTAACTAATATTAATGAAAGTATAACTAATAGGAATGTAGGATAAATGTATTAATGTATATTAATTCATGGAGGTGTAACTAATAGGATAAATTTAACTAATATTAAGATATTACCTAACTAAAATTATACTTTAACTAACTAATATATACTCCGTATATATTATAAAAGTTGCTAGTATCTAACATCTATCTAGCAACATTATATTCATGAATGAGAGTTGGTACCCTTAATTTATGTCAATACACTTTGTGCATAATAAGTTGTACATTATTCTTAAAAAATGGAACCTACTTTTTCGTGTGACTTCTTTACCCTTACTATACTAACTATGATGTTTAGCTTCCGTTAAGTTAATAGGAGTATTTAAAAAAAAATTGGCCTCCTGAGTCGTTGCTAAGTCAACATATCATGTTACATGAATTGAAAAGGTTAAAGCCATCTTCTCACTTTCTCATTCATTGCTCTCCGGAATTCTAATTTCTCTATTGAGAAGCCGTTCTCTTCACCTGATCTGAATGTTTCTGATCTGAATTTTTTAAGTTCTGATCTGATCTGAATGTTTCTGATCTGATCTGATCTGAATGTTTCTGATCTGATCTGAATCCTTCTGATCTGATCTGAATCTTTCTGATCTGATCTGATTTAAATATTTCTAAAATTATAATTATAATTATAATTACTATAATTATAAATGTAATTACACATATATAATTTAAATATAATTATAATCATAATTATAAAAATTATAATTATAATTATAAACATAATTATAATAGGTATAATTATTATTATACGTATTACACTAGTTATAAATATAGCTATAATTATAATTGTAATTATATTTATAGTTATATTTATTTCTATAATTATAATTTTAATTATAATTATAATATTTATTTCTATAATTTTAATTGTAATTACTCCGTATAATATGATAATAACGAAAACAAAACTAATAACAATAACAACAACAACCATAACAGTAGTAAGAATAATAATAATAATAATCATGATAATAATAAATATCATAATAATAATAATCATCATAGTAACCATAGTAATCATATTAATAATAATAATAATAATAATAATAATAATAATAATAACAATAATAATAAGACTAATAATAATAATAGTATCAATAATAATAGTAATTATAATAATTACAATAACAACAACAAGAATAATAATAATTATTATTATTATTATTATCAATATTATTATAATTATTATTATAATAAAAGGGATAAATCATGTCTGAACTTTTCTGATCTGATCTGAATGTTCCTGATCTTATCTGAATGTTCCTGATCTGATCTGAATGTTTCTGATCTGATCTAAATCTTTCTAATCTGATCTGAATGATTCTGATCTGATCTGAATCTTTCTGATCTGATCTGATCTGATCTGAATTTTTCTGATATGATCTGATCTGATCTGAATAAAATAAGAATAAACAATAAGTAATAAGATTAAGACGAACAGAACACCTTGTGAATTTGGAATGGTTAACACTTATATCTTAAGAAGAATTTAAACTTTTTTGAGATTGAGGTAATGTAGAAAAAGTTAAATTAAACCCTTGTTGATTTTAAAAAAAGTTTAATAAACCAAAATGCTATCCTTACTATGAGGTACGATTAAAATTATTACATTTAATCAATTTTTGCTTTAGATGTTTTTATAATGGTACAAAATAGTTCTAGAAACGTCTGTGTCATTGATGATTTCATATATAAAACGAAAAACATATGCAATTTATGGAATCACATAGTTTTATAAAGTATAAGCATATATCTGAACAATATTTAAATATATGAAAATATAAATGATCTGACAATTTTCAAAAAATATCGAAAACTTATATACACCATCTAAGAAAATCTCATAACAATATCATATATTCCCTCCGTTCCCAAAAATCCTCCCCAGTTTGACCCGGACCGCTTTTTAATGCAAGGCTAAAAAGCCTTTGACTTTCCAATTAAACCCTTGGGGGTTGGCCCAAAAGGGGAGGAGTAAAAATAAAGTTACTCCAATGTAGAATGATTAAATAAAGTGGGATTTGATAGATGTGATAAAAAAAGGTGAATAGTACACCCCAAATATTTTCGGATACAACTTCCCTCCTACTTTTGGGGGAGTTTTCAATTTTTTCCCCAAATAAAGTTCTACAAATCAACCATGCTAGGGTAGGGGTACACAAGTTGTACACAATTTGTACACAAAATGTCAGTCACGGACAATTGATATGGAATTGTCTGCGGGCACAGACACGAGTTGTCTGTGTACACAGGCAACTTTTGTCTGTGTCCACAGACATTTACTTTTTTTGTAAAAAGCACATTGACAACCACCTGACACTGACACCAGCTTGCAAATCAATCAATATATGTGCAGTGCCTGTGTGCACAGGCAATATTTTCATGTTACACAGACAATTATTTGTCTGTGTGCACAGACAATATTTACCTCACAGACAATAGTTGTGCGTTCTACAGACAATAGTTGTATGTGTGATCAACTTTAATTTTCGGTGTGATCAATTTCAATTGTCTGGGTGAACGAAAAATTTAATTATCTATATATATCCAAATGAATGATGTTGTATGTGTGATCAATTCACATTTAGTTTGAAAAAATTGAAAAATAATAAAAATAAATGAAATAAGATGAATAAGTTGATTTTGTGCAAATAATGAAAAAATAATAATAATATAAAAAGGTAGAGAAAAAGAGGATGAAGAAGGAAAAATGAAGATGATGAAGAGAAGATGATCTCTCATTTTTTTTGTGAGACATTCAAATGGGTTGGGTAAAGATGAAAGAGAGAAGGGGGAGGGGGGAAGAGAGAGTGGAGAGAGAGGGGAAAGAAGGAAATGAATTTTTTGGGCCTTTTATATGGTGTCCACTTTGTGTACATCATGTGTACGTTTAGCATTTTCCTCTACAAATACTCCCATTTCCCCATTGTTTCTCCCCACCTCCCATTACAACACTTAACACTTCACACACAAAATAAATGGCAGCACTCCTTCTTCCATAAATGGCAGCTGCCATAAATGTGGATTCCCCTTCCCATTCCATTAATGCTTCTCTTTCATCTTCTTCACCAACCAACCTGCACACAATAACAAATGAGGGTGAATCACAAGAAGCAGTCAGCAACAACAAAAGTAGGAGACTGTCTAATATGGAACGGGACATTATCATTAATTAGATCCTACTCTGTGCAAAAACAGACTGTTTTGGGGCGTTGGTAGCTCAGAAAGGTGTGTTCAGTAAACTGGGAACTGAATTTCAAGTTTCCAGAAGATCCATTT